AAATATTCAACATTTATTTTATAATTAAATGTCATATTTTGTATATTTATTTTTTATTGTGGAAATCTTTCAGAGTGCATAGCACTTACGCATGAACAGTTTACATTTTTTTATGTAAATGTGATATTTTATGTATATATTTTATTTAAATGTTTAATATTTATCTTTAATTATTTAAATAAATTTTTATTTTTTCAATTTTTCTATTTAAACCGACTGTATAGCACTTTTTTATAGCGGTTTTGCACAAGTAAAAAAGTTAACTTTTATTTCATCTAAATGTAATTGTTTTTATTTTAGTTTTTAAACATTTAATTTAATATTTATTTGTAATTATTTAATTTGTTTAAATGTAGAAATCTAGTTTAGTCTGTAATACAAGTATGTTGTTGCAGAGCTAGTGTCAAACACATTTAGCACTGCAGATCAAAAGACATAGGAACTGAAAGCAGAAGTAGTCTTGAAATGTTTCTGTCTGTTTCCTTTGCATACTGCTTTGTATCAGGAGCCCCTTCCTCTGTCCCATGTGAAGAAGATGCAGGAGGTCTACCAGCTAAACGGTGTTAAAAACGCAGAGGTCCGCTTCAGGTAAGCACCCTTTTTTTTTTGGAGTTATCTGATTATTACATATTTCAGTATTTGATGGTGTCACGCTGTTTATGTTTATGCAGGTGGTTGCGCATCTGTGTGAAGGCACATTGGGAGGAAGCCGTTCCCCTGGCGCTGAAGATGGCTACCGAACAAGGCAGAATGAAATTCACTCGCCCCCTCTTCAAGTAAATTCATTCATTTGTTTTGAGAAGTCCATAATTTGACCAAAACAACACAAAAAATGGGGTGACTTGTTAAAAATGGACCAAAAGGAACAGGATGTTACAGAGAGTTTTGTAATTTCCTTGCTACAGCGAGCAACCGTTCACACTTCTGTTTTCAAGCGTCCAGAGCTCATCAAGGCCATTTCAAAATGCACTTTCTAACCTCCTTTCCCTTCCTTTTTTCTCTTTTAGGGAAGTTTACAACTTCTCCAAGTACAGTGATGAGGCAGTGAAGACTTTTAAGGAGAACCGTGGAGCGCTGCACCCCGTCACAGCCATGCTGGTGGTCAAAGATCTGAAAATCAATGGCTAAAATGCTGCTTTCTGTCCATCTTATACACAGGCAGTGTTTTTATGCTTCAACTTAGTTCTCAGATACAAAACTGCATATCAGACCTTGAACAGACAGGTTGATGTGCAGAAAGTTTTTTTCTTCATTGGCCAAAGCTTGCTTTTTTTTTTAAATGTTTCAGTCTCAGGGCTTAGAACAAATAAACATTTTCAGTATCATGTAGTTCAGTGTTAAAAATGAGCATTGGATTGAAGGATCCACTATCTTCCTTTACATCATGTCCAAAGTGATGTTCTGTAATAAACTCATATGTGCAAAAGGTTTCTACTCTTTTATTCAAAACCAAATGTAACATGATACACAATAAAGTTGCATAGCACATAAACATATGCATTTCATAACGTACATATTTTTTTCTTTTGAAAAAAGTCTAGTTCACCCACACATGAAAACTGGCATTTGCTCGTTTTCATATGACTTTCTTTTGAGGAAAATCTAAGATGACACACACTTTTTTTAAAAAATGCATAAACAACACTATTTTAGGGTATTTTGATTAATGCAAAGGCATTTTGGAAGGGAGTCAGTGACCCAACTTTGAAGCATCTCATCTGGAAAAAATAAATAAAGCAGTTTTCCATCCAACAATACAACATTTTTTTT